AGGGGATGAGCTGAGAGAATCTTCGTGGCTTAACTTCTTTTCAACTCTTGTTTTACAAGCCATGTTTTGGAATCCGCCTAACTGTAAGCGATACCGAATACCTTCATATACTATCTGATTTAAATTCGAACTAATGCATAGTAACAGGCGATAAGTTTGCGTAACTTGTCACCCTCATCGTGCCGGGAACTAACCTGTTACTTCATAAAGTGTTACTTCACGCTGGTACTCCTGAGCTTCGCTTTTAAGTCTGAGGGACAGTAAACAACTTTAAATGTACGGACATTATCACACCCCTGGTCACCAAAGTGGAACATCATTGGGCTTCAACCTTTTTGTTGTTCCATGACATTGCAGGAAAGTGAAGGCTCAATGATTATCCACTTCGCCAGTCATATCTCCACCACCAACTAATGCATGCTCTTACAACATATCCCACGTTCGGAGTCCTCTTTTTTACTTGCTTGCATCAATCGAAAGCTACTAAGCCACTGTGAAAGACGAGCCAACCGTGGCTGACGATATGTCTGCCATATTAGGAGTCGCCGAGATGTCTGATTTCCGATATGAGTGGTGGTAGTGGCTTGTCGAAATCCGACCTGGCAACTATACCCTCAGTGAGAGCCGTACGGAAAAAGCGCTTCCGTCTACAGGAGCTACCTCGAGTAGAAACATTCTTATTCCTCCTTCTCACTTCTGCGCGGGTAACACTCACAATGCATATTTCCTTTAACGGAGGTGTTACGTAGCGCACCGAGGAGCTTCGAAGTTTATCCAGCTTATTACACGTGGGGTAGAATAATTTCGGAGAGCCAGACCAGCTCGTCTGTGAGCTCGTAATCCACAACTAACTTTGTAGACCGAATCGCGTCGTAGTTTTGATGCCAATCAATCAGAAGTCATCCGCAGCACGGCGGCGAAGCCTAACGCCTATGGCATTTTGCTCTTACTGAGCTGGGTGAACCCAAATGTCGCATTGAAAACTCTTTTTAACCTAACATTTTAGCGCGCCCGACCGCCTGCACCTACCGTAGTAGCCATTAGGTATATTCTTTTCCCGTATCTCCTAATGCTGGCGAAAGCATTGTATTCGCATATTGGGCGAATTACCCGTCCCTGGTTTTAACAAGCCCGCTTTATTAATGCCGACGCCAGAGTAATTCGTCGCTTAATGCTTGACTTTGTAGATTAGTAATTGCAGCGTAAATGATATTGTGGCGGGCACTTACAACCACATTTTTTGCTGTAAGTAACCCAGCTTATCTACATGAGCCTGCTTAATTGACTATCAGTCCGTTCTTGAGCTTTGAGTAAGACTGTGTCTACTCTCTAGTTCGAAGTGCGCTGCGCTATGCAAATCTTCCCCTTCTCCCGGAAGACAAAGAACAGGGGTGTCTCAAGTCGTAAGCGACAACAGCACCAGATAAAATCTGCAAAGTTGGGACTTCGTACCCTTTAAGCTTCTGGGTGGAGTTCTCTCCTCCTTCACCAGATACTATTTATCGTCTTTATGATTTAATCAGCTCACTAACCGCTCCACGTGGAAGTAAACTCATCATGCAGAGTCTGTGGACCGCTCTTGATGACAGAGATATGTGGAAATATACTCGAGAATCTCGACATATGACCGATACTGACATACCAAATTGTAACATTGGACTGACAGGTGTTAGAAGCTCTAAGAGTTTCAGTACCAAATTACTGTTCTGTAGAATAATGCAGTCTTGATATAGGAGGGATTAAGACGCTGATTCATCTCCAGCCGAAAACTTTGTTTCTGAATACCTCATAAGAGAGGAATGTATAAGAAGACGCAATCGGGTTTCTGGATCCATGTTTTGATTCATCCATCATTCGAGCTTGCTAAGGAAGCAATATGGAGTCGTTCATGCCTCAAGATAGAATACGAAGCCAGTTTGATTTGCGAGAATCGATTTTCTACTCGGTACCGATCATTTTATGATCAGAGCAAATGGCATATTGCAATATCCAGTTCCTTAAAGAATTGTTGCCGAGTAGAATGACTGGTTGCACCTTGTTTGGTGTACTCGACCAAATCTATAAATATAGCACATGACAGACAGATATGTCATTCTAACGAAGCTAGCGATCCAAGTGAGATGATCTGAGAGGAGATCGTGATAGCCCAGGGATTTCTAATGCACCAACGACGTTCAACTTCCTAATGACTAAGCTATTTGAGTCGCATCGCGCATACTTTCAAGTCTTTTCTGGCGATATATTTGATCATACTCGTTCAGAGTATAAAAAGCAGATGTAGACATATATCTCAAACCGTTGCAAGCTGTGATCGACTTCCATAAAATGCTGGCCAATGCTAACAGATTTGTCATCGACGCTAAAAACTCCCGACTTTTGTACTTCATTCGTAAAAATGGACTCTGGCGAGGGTAATGTCAATGTAATTGACCAGTGCCACTGTCTCAAAGGGACTTAAAGGAAATACCTAGTTTGACCAGCTACCAACACTAGTATATTGCAAATATTTGGCTAACTACTAACAATAATGCAAAGAGGTCTTTGAAGACAGTGTCTGATTGTATTGGTAAGCTGCAAAATCAAATAAGAAGACGATACACAAGGCCGCGAAATCTGCCCAGATGCATACCTATTCTCGCACTTTCAAATAAAATCGACTTCTTCGATTCGACTGAAACGCTTGGACTTTACTATGATTAGTATTTTACTCGACTCGGTGACGATGTTGCAAGATCATCAATGCATGTTATGTATTGATTAAGAAGTGGCTTTGATCCAAAAAGGAGTCCTTGGACATGACAAAAATGTAATGAATCGCAAATAGCTCCTGGTCATGAATTGATTAATTTCTCGCTACTGTTAAGCTAGTGAAAGCGATCACAATCATTTTTCGTAGTCGTTACCATCTACACCCGTGACAGATATGACTATGCTTATCTTGCTGCATCGAGTGTACCTTCGAGGTTAAGCATTTGCCGGATCGATTTGATGTGATGGCGAATGCGTTTACGCGTCACTCTGACTACGTATGAAACATGTGTTGCACAAAATACAGATGCGAAAGAAAGGAGTTAGTTAGTTTAAATGCTGCTCAATTTGAAGTGTCTGGCTGAACACTTGCTCTGCTATTTGTTATCACAAACCCTGCTGATGCACAACACTGATCTGCTCAATATTCATCGTGTGTGGTATTACATTCATGATGATGGCCTTATGTACGGACATTGTATGAGGTACATGATGACCCTTGGGTGGCACGGCTAAACGAGGGTTGTCGTTGTAGATCGTCTGAGAAAGGTGACATATGCTGGTGCCAACAATGATGTTACTGGTCTGGACACATCCAGCTTGTTCCTCGATAAATATTGCCAACATGGCTTGCCGTTGGGCCATTGTTTGAATTCAAGACATGCATTTCATGAAAATTTGGAGATAGTTTCTCATCACTAGAATTAGCGTAACCACCGCATGTTTACTGCAGTCAAATGGTCAGATGTGAATAGCGTGGTGTAGCAAATCATATAAGGCATTGATGCGGATCGTCGCCGTGCTAAAGCGATTTTCCTACTCTTTGAGATTGAGCTGAAAACCAAATCAGCATATATCTCTCCAAAGTGAGAAGTACCGACCACCACGAAGTAGCTTCGGTCTATTTGGGAGTAGGGCTTGTCGATGCAACCAAGCTTGCTTATATCGACTCGGCTACACTTAAGTGCAAAATCGTGGATTTCATTTTGATATTATTAAGCGTCATGCATCGGGTGCGCAACAATGTTACTAAGAGCTAATATATACTGAAGAACATAAAAACAAGACACAAGAGTCTTTGGTTAAGAAAAATATTATATCAAATTCGATCAACCAACCTACACTTGCAGCGTCTCCAAATTATAAAATTAAGTTGCGACCTCGTCACATCGGACCGGATAAAAGTTTATACAGGCCAAATATGAACACATCTTGTGTTCGACGTATTAGATAACCAAAACAGTAGTGAAACCGAGAGTTGACGAGTATCTAAAGAGTCTTTGGCTCAAAATTTTCACATCAAAGAGTTAAATTTCGTCATGTAGCCCATACAAGTAAGGCTAGCAGCCGACGTCCTATCGTACTGGTACTTATAATGATACTTCATCATCGTACGCTCTACCAGGAGCTATTCCGACTAAATAGGTAGCTCTGCTGTCTCAAGAGTGACATGTATGAGAATAATTGTTATCAAGACAAATACTAAATTTATACCTATAGCTATCCCTCGTATATAAGTAGTCTTAATTTTCCGACGTGCAGCTAGCAGCCACAATTACCACTGACCTCTACTTCATGAAGTCCTATCGTCGTGATTTGTACCGACACACACTTAAGTACTTCTAAACTGTAATATGAACTTTCAAGTGTTAAGGGTGTGCACACAATAGTGAGTACATACCCTGGCACTTGTGTATGCACACTTTTATGTCTACCAACTGAAATATCAGCATAGCAGAGCTTTCATCGTCTGTCGAGAAAATGTATGTATCATATCTAGACTTTCTCAAGCATGGCTCACTACACGTCTACAAAAACGTAAGATGGAAACGTATTGTGTATATGTGACAGCATTGCATATAGACTGCCGAATAGAAGATACAAGCAGCTCATCTCGACAAGTCATAAAATTTAATACAAATTTATCAATGTTGCTGCTTGGAAACCAATTAATTTGCCCAAGATATTTAATTATATTATTACATTAGAATCAGTACCGGACAAACCGGTCATTTAATTGTCACGCTCAAGCTCGTAACGGCGAAACACTGATGCGGACGTTATGACTTCCGTAACTGAAGCAATTCCAACTCAGGTGACGTGAAGGCTTCAACTTGTTCTCTCGACGTAAAGGCTTCAATTTGTTCTCTTGACGATCACGATTTCCAACCTGCTGCAATGATGTTCCTCAAACCATCAATGAGACAGCCACCATTTGAATTGATGGCTAAGGAGGTAGCTTTTGTGTTCAATTACTCTAGAATCGCAGAGCATAGAAAATCGATCTCATCTGTGGACAAGTAACTCTGATGCCAGTCCATAGACACGTCTGCATACTCGATAAAATAGGAAGAGGCTGCCTCGGGGATCTCTGCCCAAACGCTTTCATTCAACTCGCAGTCTGGCGAGTCGGGAGAGTACATATGGACTGCTTCGGAAGTGTCTGACAAGTCGGACAGTGAAGACGCTGAGTTTCTAGAGGATGCAGTAGAATCCGTTGAAACTGACGGAAGCTTGTGAGCCGAATTTTCCAACATCGAGACAAAACTCGAATTCTCTACATCATGCAAGCCACAACTTTTCTGTGATCGCGCTGCATGACGTTTCTGGCGGTCAAACTTGCGCTGGGTCATGTTGGCCTTGTCACGGTGGTACAGGCACAGCTGATGTGGCTGGCCGTTGCGCTTACGGGACCGGGTGTTTTGACATTTACCAGTTTTGTACCGGCATGTTGTCGGGCTTTTAGTAGTCATATCGTTAAGACCGACGTCCGTAGATCGCTTAGAGATCGAGGTCGAAACCATTGTTCGGAGGAGTGAGAGCCGAGGATAAAGCGACGAATTCTAAAGTGACATCTCATTGCCTGGGCGGGTCATGAAGCCATTATGTACGGTCCACGCTCCAGTTTCGAATTGGACAATACATTATGCAGACATTAGAGGGATTACAGTTGGCTTTTGTGTGATACAAAACTGAATTGCTCAGTTTCTACTCACATGAAGAGGCATGTCACACTGTACATCTAAATGAAGTGGATACTAGTACGTCCTATCCAGCCTCGAATTCAATTTCAAAGTTGTCCAAATAGCTTAGCAGACTGCTGTGCGTATTTAATGAGACCGCAGATCAATTTTCTCATCTATTGGTACTAATGAAAAATGACTTTCAGTCTATGAAAGATCTCTTAGCGGCAAATTGGAATAAACCATGAATTTGCGAATAAGCAGATAAAAATATTCTGCCGAATATTAGGATGTTTTCTCGTCGAACACAGCGCCCATCAGCAGTCCTTTTCATCACGACAGTTGATACACCTACTGACGTACTAATGTGTCACCTTCTCTCGCTTGATGGCTTCATTAGATATACGTGGCACTAGTTGTTCATGTCAACACATCACGCACATCTGAATCAAAGCTAAATCTTCTTTATTCCAGATAAATCACCTTTGTTAATGAATTTGACCGACGAGAACTTTGGACACTGAAATAACGAATCGTTCACTTGGAATTATCTTAATTTTACCGAAAACGTATCGAACAGCTTGAAAAAATTGAAGCTTGCATGTGTACCGACACACACGTGAACATTATTTAAGTGCTTGAGACATGAGACAAAGATCAAGGAAGCACCTCACCGAATTCAAAGCTTGTAAGATGTGCATTTTCTTGGACCGTACAGAAGAAAGTCAGATGCTTGAGAATAAGTGACCACGATGTGGTACCGCAATGTCCACGCAACCTTCAACGTCAGTGAGTTCAGCACTATCCCATCACATGAGATAAGGATTGCAAGTATTTTTATTCATAAGCGGATGGTTTTCTATAGACGCACCATAAATTACATAAAAATTTATTCTGGCTCTCGATATAGGGTCCCGCGACATAAAACATGGTGGATTGCTAGATGACACTGCGAGCACTATAAAAGAACTTGATCAATTTGATTGTTAAAAGGGAAATAACCATCCCACACGGCATCGGAAGGCGCTGAGGCTGCAGTTTAATGCCATTGAAAATGAGGATGCTTCGTGCACTGAATATATCAAACGGGGTGTCAATTTAGGGTATAGTAGATGCAGAAATAAATCAGACGCGCAGGGCAGCCGCACTATTCTGTGTGGGAAGAGATTTGCTAATGTTGATGAATGGTTTCTACTTTATTGTTTTCAAATCATTGGACCGGCTTGCAACTCCTTGAATGCAAGTGAAGATGCTTTCACCGATACCATATGACTCTGCAAACTGTATACACATGCTGAATTAAATGCGCTCTATATTAGCTATGTCGACCATGACAGGAGGTGATAGAATGACTCGCGTCATAGACATGTCAGTTCACCAACAGCAACGGCATGAAGTTATACAATCTTGTGTTAGTGTTTCGACTAGTGGTATTTGCTTATGGCTATGAATCTTGATGATCAAGCACCTTGATGGGATGGATACGTTTTGTACTGTATCTACTTAAGTCCAACTATTGGTCATCCAGAATGATTATTGTATTCGCCTGGGTAACCTGTATCCATCATTCCTGCGGTCATAGTCAGAACAGCTCGACAGCCTTGTGAGCTCAGCCAAATTTTCTGACATGAAACATATGACTCATGTCGATTATGTCCATGCTCAAATTTTCCAGACGAATAAATTGGACCTTGCGTATCAAATCTTGTTCTCTAAATTCAATTGTAACCTTCTTGCTACCGGTATTGTGTGCTGCATGATGATGCTTTCTTAACTAAATATACATTGCTATCAGTATCATCTTTCTTGTACGATATGTCGTTGTAGCTTGCATATACGTCTAATCACTGGCTTAGAAAGAGCGAACCCACGACCATAGATATACCCGTTATCGTGCTTGCATAAATATTCGGGAATCAACCATCTGCGGTCAGCTTACTTAATTTTTTAGCGATACATTTGTATCTAGATGTTGACAAATCTAATGTGTCCTTACCCTGTACTGGTATATCTACCAGTACTTTATTGTTCAGATATAAAAACTTCTTCAACGCAGTCTAAAGATTCCTAACAACATAAGTTCATCCTAACTATCTTCAAACATATTGCTCATGTCTGTCATTCCTTGTATCCCTCGTGAGTCACACATGTTGCATTGCCACCAGCAATCCCTCTCTCGGCCCGTCCATGTGTTTTTGTGACCTGCTGGCATACCGATATCTGTATAACAATTGCAATGCATACAGGAGCGACGGATCCCATGATAGCATGCCTGCAATGCCTTTAAGAGCCTCTTGCACAGAGGCTTGTGAGTGAATGATTGGCATAGACCTCGAAGCTCTGCTTGTCAATCATTTTAAAATCTAACGCGTCATCCTCAAGCGAACTTTGCCTTCCCTCGTTGAATAACAATGGTTGCCACTTCGACTTCGAAATCATCTACTGACGTCGGCCTCACTACTGCGGCGGCTAGAAATTCGGATAAGTGTCGGTACAAGACCGGTAAATGTCTGAATCCCCGGTCTAGTAAACGCAATGGCCAGCCGCACCAGCTTTGCCTATTCCACCGCGACAAGGCCAACATGATCCAACGTCGTTTTGACCGCCAGAAGCGTCAAATTGCGCGAACGCAAAAACTTTGTGAATCTCAAGGCCACGAGTCTCCAACATCTATTTCGATGCTCGACTGGTCGGCACTTGCGGAATTAGTGCCTCCTACGGAGTCCATGTGCTCAACATCGTTCTCGTCGCTCAAGTCAGAAGATATCCAAACGTTCTCATCTAAATCGTCAGACTGCAGTCATAATGAGAGCATCTGGACAGATCTCTGTGACACAAAATCTGTTCATTTCGACGAATATTTGGACATGCAATTCTCATTAAATTGCTACCCGAATTATCTGTCTACAGATGAAATTGATTTTTTATGCGCTGCTGTACTGGAGTAAATGAGCTACGGTACCTTATGGAGCAATTAATAAAAGGAAGGCGTAGTTGTAAACCCGAACAGCAAGAGCTGCTGTCGGCTTCTACGCTTGTAGCAGAAAAGTAGTAGATAGATTTATATAGAACATATGTACATAACCACCAAAATTAATATCGATTAATATTCTTGCTTGTCGCATCTGATGAATGAATATTCCATGAATTACCGGTATATACCGAACGGTGGTTAGAAGTTACAACGATCAGTTAGACGTGGCAGGCTAAACGTGGCACAAGCGAGTGAGTCGCTAGAGTGCGCGTGACTACAAATAATTTCGATTTTTAGAGTCTTGAGGGTGCGATAGCGACACCAATGAGCCACAGCATCGACCGTCTTTATCTCGCCTCGTCAACCCATTCGTAGGTGTTACAATCAGACGCAAACTTTAGCGACAATTCTATCACGACCCACATCTCTTGAACAGCTGTGATTGAAACTTTTTTGAAAATACCGGTAATTTACTGAGGTCATGGATGAGGCTACAGTAGCAGTCTCCCTATTAAGTGCCAACCAATTTAAATTGCTTTACTTGATTAATTTGTACGCTGTGGCGTCCAATTCGACGCGACAAAATGAACGCTGGATTCGACATGTTCCGTTATTAGTACTGCTGTTTGAAGGAATTTTAAATGATGCATTTGATTTTGACTATGCTCCAGCATCCATACGATTGTCCTACAAGGGCAAGACTTTACGTCGTTGGATCAACTTTTCACGCGAAGGAAAAGCTGCAATTGATGATCTTTGGGCTCTACGCCTTATTAATGGTCTTAAACTGTCAAGTGATGACTTTCAACCCATTACTGCATACCAAGTCTCGATCAAAGGGCAATTGGCGCTTCGATTATTGCCACGGTATTTTCAGGACTCCGTCGAGACATTTGTGTACCCACCACCTTCGTACAATCGACAGCTTTTATCTGTACGATACGATGGACACCATTTTGTATTACAAGCTGGTGGGTACAGCAAAACCAGTAGCATTACAGAGAGCGATGATGTCTCGTATGTCTCGAGTCCATTCTTACCGCGTTGTTTACGATCACAATCAGGAGGGTACTACAAAATTCAAGAGCAAAGTAATGCTAATCGAGCACACGAATGTGCTCAAGGGACGATGAGTATTACTAAATCAACGTCAGAAGCACTGTCGTTAGGTGATGTGTATGCATTGATCGGTGAGTGGGTCCCATTTGGTACAAACCAGATTGTAGCTTTAAATGAGCGAATGGGAGTACTTGATCGCTGTCAAGGTGGAATTCTTACAAGTTGTGTTGATAGTAATCCCACAGATACTCAATTTCGAGTCCCCGTTGGTCAAACTCAAGTTCGGGTTCTTGATTTTGATTTTGTACGCTTTACAAATTTTGAAGCAGAGAGTCATTTTCCCGAAACACCTGGAATTGTTCAGATTGAGAATTTTGGGATGCATTTGAATAGCAATGGATCTCTTATTTACGGGATCAAAGTTGAGGCAATTATGGATCGACGAGGTGACGATGTTGCGATTGATCATCTCTCGCGTCTACTAGTAGATGTTCATCAAGACTCATCCATGTTGGTAAATGATCTCCTCTCTCGCTATCAATTAAGTCTTTTAGAAATGCTTTATCTTGGCGACTCGTTTCAACGGAACAAGTACAATTGTATCCTAAGCAAACAGATTGTACCAAAGTTACCCGCTCAAGCTTATGTGAGTGACTCTCGCTATGCCAACGAATTGGCACAAGTGCTTGGAGATATCCACGCGAGCCACGATTTGACCGCAGACGACGTGCTTGTAGTGGGAAAAGCAGGTTGTCTTTTTTCTGGTCCTAATGTTTTTCGATATGAACATATTTTCACCTCGTACGTTGGATTAGTGTGTCGCGATATCTTTATTAAGAATTTTTTTGCCCGTACGTTTGTCCTTGACGCAACATTGAAAGAGATTCGTCAACTGATCCATCGAGTACATCGGGAACCTGCAACTGTTTTACTCGTTCGAGAAAAGCTCTCGGCCGTGTCAAAAGACACTATTTTGCTAGTAGAGACGCTTGAATACCTTTTAGACTCATTAGAGAGTGTCGATCTCTCGCTTCCGCAATCTTCCAATGATATGGAAGTAAATACAAATTCTGCTACGGATAACGAAACAAAACAATCCGTTTCGAAACCACATGAACTAGATGCTGATGCAAAATTGTTTCAAGTTCTTGCGTTGCCTCAACTCAAAGCACAGACGATCATGCGATGTCACGATTCAATCAAGTTGATGGAGAACACAATGCTTCAATTAGAGCAACTCCAGATGATTGCCGAGTCCACGGCTACTAATCAACTCGAAATGGCTTGTTCTCGTGTCAATTTAAATACTCGTGCACTCATGACAGCAATGGCACAACAGACAGAAATGTCCATTACGCTTGATGCTCTGCAGTATTTTGTAAGTGGAATCTTTTTATTCGATTTGATTGATCGACTTACTGGAGGCACGTGGAATGGTCACATTCCCGACTGGGCCATGAAATTCATTGTTAATCCGATTCTTCATCAGCCACTTCTCTGGTGGGTTCTCAATCTACTCCTCTTTGTTCTATTCAGCATGATGCTAAAATGGATTACAGATTGGCGGAATTGTAAAGTATTAGGATGGTGTGAAGCTTCCTACGAAGTCAATCGAAGCATTTCTATTTGGAAGCTTGACGTGTATCTAGCCTCTCGTGGCGTTCAAAGCAGTGTGACGCTTCGAAAAGCAGCTACACCAGGAGCAAAAGTCGCCAATCGATTCCGTTTACTAAAGTGGCAAGAAACAGACGCTGCACTTTGGGGTGGGGTGCTGCCTGAGATTGACCTTGTGTTCGATGATCGTCACGCATTTCTCATGTTTGTGTCCCTGCGCTTCGATGGCAAACGCTCGCCACGATTACTAGAAGAAGAATGCTTTCAAAAGTTTCTTGAGATTTTCACGCGGGCGGAGATATTCTCGAAAGATCCGCCACCATGAAGATGAGCGGGAAAATAAGCTTTTGAATGAGACGTGCCCGCCGTGCGAATCCATCGTGACACGAACAAGTAAATTTCTTGAAACTTGATTGTTTGGTCATTTTCTTGAAAATTTGGTCGTTTGGTCATTTAAATGTAGGACAAATGCATCCAAGCAGCGTCAAGCTCCACTCATGTCACGATAGTGATCAATTCTTGCTCCAAGTTTGACATTGATAGATACAACGAATGTTAGCTACTTTTGCTTCCGGTTTGATGCAGTATGGAGACAATCCTTATATTTTGCAAGCTACTCTTTGAGTTTGTGACGAGTAATACATTAAAACCATGGTACAATGATTCTAGCTGCCCAAAAAGACTAAAAATGTTTTATTCAATGATTGTTAACGCTCATCAAGTTCGCTAGCAAAGGATGGGAAGACCTAGTTGCGAACTAGATGACTGCTCTGGATAAGCTTTTGCCAGCTACGACTGCAATACATGGATGGAGGATTTGTGACAAAGGCGACGTTTGTGGAAGATGTTTTCAGTTGCTTTGCTGCCGCAACTTCATTTCCGAACCTTGGAATGTCTCGCGAATAAAGAAGAGCGGCTAATTACATCCTACTGTGGCTGAAGTCTAAAGCTTCAATCCATGTAATAGCTAGCTTGACGTGCTACGGTTGAGCATCTGCCTAAAACCTTAAAAACATCTCAGCAAACTACTTAAAGGACGCAAACTCGGAGATCAAACCTACTGTATGAAAGGGCAGACGGTGCGACCGTACATATGTGTGTCTTACACAAGTTAGTGTAGTCAAACAGGTGCCACCATGTATGTAGCAGGATTGCCAGTAGTAATGCATATTACTATATTAGTTAGGTTTTGCCACATTAATTAGGTATTAATATATTAATTAGGAAAACCTAGGGTTTCAGATATTAGTGGCTCTGCCGCAACCAAAACAATAAATACAGTTTCAATTTTGGACACTAAGTTTTTAGTACTTGGAGGTAGCGGATTCCGATCCGCTACCCTCGTACTGGTTCTTGGAAAGAACGTAAGGTCGGTGATCTTAGTATAGCTTAATCTATGCAAAGAGCTACGGCAGCCCCGCTGCACTTGGTAGCACTCGTAGTCAATCTACATCTGAGTCGTTACGACTGATCCTCTGTGAGGATGGAGGAATACTCCTACTTGCCCCAGAGCATGCAGGACGGACTTAAAAAGCTGATATCCCTGCTGACCCTGAGGGCGTGGAGCACCTCGTTGCGCAAGGACCCGAGGCCATAAGCGCGCGCCTAGAGCAGTTTTCAAGTTATGAAAATGCTCTGTTATAGCACTTAAAGTAGAAGCTGAGAGTGTCGACTGCGTCCATGACGCCACCGTCGACGACGGATGATTCCTTCCGACCCAGGCCGCTCATGTTGAGCGTTAAGACCTTTGACAGTAAGGATGAAGAGAATCTCTTGTTCTGGATTAGAGAGGCTGGGATGACTATGGCATGTGCCATGCTCCAAAACGAGCAACAGGGCATGGCGCTAGCTATCTTCAAGCTTAGGGCTGAGCGCGATAATGAGCACTAACGTGCGGTGCTTCAGTCAAATCTGCGTATCCTCCTGGATGGAGCTGGAGCATCAATTTCTGCAGGTGTTCTCGCCGCCTAATCAGGCATATCGCGTGCGATCGCCTTCCTTGCTGCCAGACAGGGTAAGAAGGAGTTGGTGGACTTTGTCCAATAGTTGAGAACTCTCATTGCCGGGATGGCAGTAGATCCTCTCTCCAAGGCGGTCGCAGTGACCAACTTTATAGAGGGCGTCCGCACTGGCGTGGCCATAAAAGTTTTTCGAGTGCATCCGACTTCTTTTAAGAAGCGGTTAACATGGCATTGGGTGCCGAATTGTCCCTTGCGCAAAGCGCGTATAGGTTCGACGAATCGAGGCCCGCATCTAACCGGCCTGGTTTGTTGCGTGGAAAAGGATAAGGTCAGCAGGCGCGAGGCGCTCTCTTGGGGGAAAACTGAGTTCTGTTGAGCCTCAAAGAGGTAGAGGGCAGCAGGGCCCAGCCCCGAAGAGTTGCGTGCTCTTGAACACGGAATGTGTGTACAAACCGGGCTTGCTGGTCGTAAATTCAACCGTGAAGGGCTTTGAAAAGCCATGGAAAATTCTTATCGAGTCTGGTGCGTTGGGCAATTATGTTCCATGTTCCACAATTGAAGGAAGTCAGCTGTATGCTCAGGCGTTGAGAGCGCGGTTAAGTGACGCCGTCATTGTTCGCTTAGCGCGGTTAAGTGACGCCGTCATTGTTCGCTTAGCGCGTGTCACTGCGCCGAGGGTCCCTCTGGACCTCAAAGTCAAGGATCTTGACTTTGATAGCCTGGAACGCTACACTTGGATGCAAGATATGACCTTATCCTTGGTATGGCCAAAGACCTTGGGCGCTACACGCATATCACCTGGTAGAGCTTTGGTGAGTCATGAACCCACCTCTGTTTGGAAGCAGAAGCGCTACTGGCGCAGGCACTGGACTTGGACGGTCAATGTGCTAGATATCGGAGTATCCGAGTTGTCAAACACCAAAAGTGTTTTGGATAGGGGTCCTGAGCGTGGTTGCAGGCTGCACGTGGAGTGGCACATAACCCACTGAGCACTGCTCACGTTACAAAGCAGTTGCTGTATGCCAAGAATGGCATGCTCGTTCGAGGTCCGAGGCATCAAGGAAGGGCGAGGCCCTTTGGATGCCCGTGGAGTGGCACGGGCGAAGACCGCGAAAAAAGCAGCTCTTCGTTAGTAACATCAAGGCTCCGATGGAGCAGGGAGTCGGGACAATGGACGACGCCGAATGAGTGTTCCCACTGATCTCGATGAGACGTCAACCTCTATAAAGAGGAGACGGCGAAGCCGTATGTTATCTGCAAGACGCAGCGCGTCGACTTTGACCCAGGGTGTCTCTACCGTAGACGATAGCGCACAGCTATATACCCTTTTAAACGGTTTGACGGGAGAGGAAGTCGGAGACATCACTTTCGAAGCTATTCCCGCAGTAAATGCTCTTCTTGAGCTTGACGAGATGTCCTTTGAAGAGTTTGGCGGTGGGCAATTTAGCCGAGGTGGTCATTATAAGACCGAACGAGCAGATTAACTCAGGTCTCCTCGTTCGACACCTACGTTTTGTGTCCGGAAGCCGAACAGCAAGTGTTGTATTGTTCACGCTTTTAATAAGCTAAACGCTACCGCTATTTTGGCACAGACGCCGATTCCTAGAAGGGATTTCTCCAGAACAATATGCTGGCTGTGCGCTCAACTTGGTCGATGGTATCACCAAATGTTCATGAGAACCGGAAATATTTCGCTGACAGCGGTTAGTTATCCGAGCGGTATGCTCGCGGAGGGTGGCTGGTGATGCTTTAAGGGATGTCGATACACCAGCAACAATGAATCGTCTTGTGAAGCAATTGCTTAGACCCCATCGGGCGTATGCACATACATACTTCGACGACACAGTCGTGCAGCGCACGGGAGGACAGATGTGGAAAACCACATCGTCCATTTGTGTGCGGTGCTCGAGTGCATGCGCACGAATAAGCTGTAAGTCAATGCCGATCAGTGCATCTTTAGCGCCGAATTAATTCCCTTTTTAGGGTCTTTCATTGGGAAGCGTGGTCTTCAAGCGAGTTCCGCTAAGGTCAAGGCCATGTAGACTGGCGGGTTCCAAAGAACCAAAAGGACATGCGCAAGTGGCTTGGACTCGCCAACTATTTGCACAAGTATAGTGCAAATTATGCGAAAATAGCACCGCCATTGTCTAATCTCCTTTAAAAATTGTGCGGAATGGTGTTGGAACACCGAGCATCGGGAGGCCTTTAACAGGGTCACAGATAGCCTCATTTATGCACCAATACTGGCGTTGCAAAGCCCCGATCGTCCTTTAAATGTCGTATGTGACGCTTCGGACTTTGTCATCGGCTGTAAGCAGACGCTGGGGACGAGGTTGGGTGATCGCGTTCAAATCTCGCCAGGTTTAGGCTACGGAGAGGAACGACTCAGTCCCAGTTCACAACAAGATATTACTTGCGATGAAGTATGCACTCGTCAAGTTCAGGGGCACTTGCTTGTTTGTGATCTACACAAGTCATGCGTTATTACGCACAGCGACTCAGTCGCCTCACTTCTCGTCAAAGATGGCCAGGTGGCTCTCATTTTATGCAGAATGTAACTTCGAGGTGAAGTATAAGCCAGAAAACCAGAATGCTTTGGCTGATGCGTTTTCACGCAGACCAAACTATGAGCTTGCTCATGTCATGACGATGTCACGACGGTGACGTCGTCAGTGACGGATTTGATCCGCGCCGCATACGCGAGTGACGGTATGTGAGTAGCGTTGCTACAGGCTCTCGGGAGCAAGGAGTTTGAAACTCGGACAACAATTTGTCGGCTTATTTGCGCGCACAGTAACAACGAAATTCGTTGAGTAACGGGTTGCTGTATTATAACACGGATTCAACGAATACGCCACGATTTGTGATTCCTACGACGAGAACTTTAAAGACCGTATCCTCTTTGAGACCCACGACACCCCGCTCAGTGGTCATCTCGGTCGTGAGAAGACGTTCAGCTCGGTGAGTTACCACTGTTGGTGACCCAAGCTGTACAAATGGACGAGCACATATGCGCGCACGTGAGACGAGGTATGAAGGTGAAACCTTCTCCGAATGCGGCGGCGCCGCTGGCCAGTTTACCGGTAACCTCCGGGTGCTGGCAGTCTATGAGTATGGACTTTGTGCTTGGTCTGCCGAAGGGCTCGGCAGGCAACACGGGTGTGGTGATCTTTGAGCAAGATGGCTCATCTTGCGGTAGTGTCGGACCATCGACGGTGTGGGTACAGCGATGCTGTTTGTGGATCGTGTCTTTCGACAAAATGAACTCCCGGAGTCATTTGTCTCTGATAGATACCCACGCTTCACTGCGACATTTTGGTGGGCACCAAGGTGACTATGTCAACAGCGGACCATCCGCATACCG